CTACAATATCATTTAAATTCAGAAGTATAAGCAAATAAAGTGCAAAATCTATCCATGAAAATAAATCTACTAATTTAATAAATTAAAATTAAATTAAACTATTTTTATAAAATGCATATGTGAATGATCGTAGAGTAGGCAGGAGACAGACTTATCAAGGGGAAGTTGCCTCCAAACCTAACTCTCCAATCATTCAATTCGTGTTTCGTCATTCATGCAGGCAAGGGTAAAAGTCAAAACCAAAAGTAATTCCAATAGAGTGGTACCCTTAGAAATTAACATTTAAGAATTAAAGGGTTGATCTTTACATTATGGTCACTTGGCGTTTTTTTGGCGAAAATTTGGCGACCAACTCTCCTACAGCAACCCTCTATTTTTTTTTCCCGCCGCCATTTTGTCTTCACGAAGTAAAGACATGTTTCTTTTCTTTTTATCAACTGAACACTTCTTCCAACAATCTACTAGCCGAATTACACTTATGCTAGAAATTTTATCTAACAAAACTGCTTAATCATGACAAATATTCACTGCAAAATTGGGAAAAAGTGCACAATACCATACTCCTTATGCGTTTTTCAAAATAACACATACACATAAACCATGTACATGCCGACTTATTTTTACTTAAAAAAAATCCCAGAATTACACAAAAATGGCATTGCGCACACTCTTCACTATATCCATGTACACTGCTTTTTTCTCATAAATTAGAAAAATTTCACGAAAATACATGACAATTTTCTCAATCTTTAAACCCGGTAAAAAGAACATATCAAATTACCTGATCGCGAAAAAGTTTATACCCTTTCCAAATATGAACATTTCCACATATAAAATAAATAAAATATCCAAAAACTTTTACCTCTAAATCATCTATTACATTACACACGTCACCAACGAATTCATACCGCAAGCATTACAAATACTTAGTATCAAATATTTAAATTATTTCCATGCACGTTTACTTCAACTTAAACGTATACCAAATTCCTACAAACATAACATTCACAAAATAACTATCATTTAATTAAAATATCACTAAACCATGTACATGTCGACTTATTTTTATTTAAAAAAACATCCCAGAGTTGCACAAAAATGGCATTGCGCACACTCTTCACTATATCCATGTACACTGCTTTTTTCTCATTAGAAAAATTTCACGAAAATACATGACAATTTTCTCAATCTTTAAACCCGGTAAAAAGAACATATATGAAATTACCTGATCGTGAAAAAGTATTTCCAAATATGAACATTTCCACATATAAAATAAATAAAATATCCAAAAACTTTTACCTCTAAATCATCTATTATATTATAAACGTCACCAACGAATTCATACCGCAACCATTACAATTACTTAGTGTCAGATATTTAAATTATTTCCACGCACATTTACTTCAACTAAAACGTATACCAAATTCCTACAAACATAAAATTCACAAAATAACTATCCTTTAATTAAAATATAATTAAATTCAAAAACACTACTTAAAATATAAATGAGCACATACATTAAATTAATAAAAATTACCTTACAATCCTAATTACTTTAAACTAAATCATTGCTAATAACAATTTTCCCAATAATACCAAATTCCTTTACTTCCACCTTACATTTAGAACAATGCATAAAAATAATATCCTCAAATAATTAAAAATACTAACTTACCTAATCTTCTTCAGAATCTTGATTACGTGTCCAATAAACTTTTCTTATTTCCTCCGCTAAATAAAAAGCAAGCGTATGTACGCCTGTTTCAGGATCTTTAAAATCATACTTATAGTTCACAGCAAGGTACCAGGTAAAATAAATAACTTAATAAAACATCTTTACTTCTATCTCGCACAGCCTTAAAGAAACACTTATTACTACCCCTTTCAATCCCACTTTAGTTAGGACCATGGGACCAATTTCGAATTCACTTTAGTTAGGACCATGGGATCCAAAAATTAACGAACACTGTTTCACACAACACAGAATAAAGCCAAATACAAAATTTCCAGACTTTTTTTCCCGATTTCCCCCCTTTTCCGATTAAAGAACCGTAATTCGTCCATTAATATCACATGACATATCCCATGATCTCTCATTTCCGTCACACAATATCATGCGTAATCTGAACTGAGTACTGCTCACATTATTACCAAAGTCCCAGGTATCCTACCTTTATTGCCTCCAAAATGTCGCCAAACTACCAGTTACCATATTCTAAAGTTCAGCCTTATTTTAAATTATTTTGGCTTTTTTCCTTTTTTTTAAAATTTAAATTTACTTTTATACATATTTGTTAAGAATTTAAATTTGTTTAAATTTAAATGAGTTTAATTAAAAGTTATTGTTCTAAATTTGTTTAAATTTAAATTTCATTCCTTGCAGCAATGACACAAAGAATATTTAATTAAATATGTATTTAAATTTAATTTTTTTAATTAAATTCATATATTCTTATATATATATATATATATAAGAATATATGAATTTATATATATATATATATAATGTAATTTGGAATCCATATTCACCATCTATTTCACATGTACATCACTTCTTTGATTTTAAAATAAACATGCATTAAATTAAAAGTTATTGTAAAAATTATCCAAACTATGATACAATTTTAATGCGAATTCAACATTAATTTCTTATGTCAAGTCCAATCTTAAAGAAATAAAATATCAATTAAGAAATCCTATATTTTTCTATATACAATTAAAATTCTCACGAACAAAATATTGGAACTACTCTGATATGCGCCCTCAAGTCGCCAAATTTCTCGCTAAATATTTTTGGCGAGAAACTTCACGCTGCCATATTACTATCTAAATTTTTTGTTTACATTTTGAACTTTTAGCCTAAAATGTCTCCCAAAACGCGGTTTTCGCACATGCAAAAACTACATTTTGAACACACAATTTAGCTAAAAATCCGAAACAAAAACAAAAAATTTAGATATAAAAAACTTAAAGTTTCTAACCAAAAATATTTAACAAGAATCCACGTACACAGCGATATGTTTTAACTTAAAAAAAAATCTACGAATTGCACAATGTAGGCAACGAACGAATCTACAAACTACGCAGACCTCGCTTTAATAAATTAACATAACAACAATAATTTAAAGAATTACCATGTACACAGCATCCTGTTTAAACTTTAAAAAAATTCTACGAATTGCACAATTTAGGCAAGGAAGGAATCTACGATCTACGCACTCCTCGCTTTAATAAAATAACGAACATAACAACAATAAATTTCAATATACCATGTACACAGTGTCTGTTTCTTTTCAAACTTTAAAAAACATCTACAAATTGTACAGTCTAGACACTAAACAACAAAATAAACTAAAATAAATTTCAAACAATTAAAAAAACAACAATAACGACAGAAATTCATACTAAAGAACCAATGAACATAACATTCTACAAAATAAGAACAAGGATAAAATAAAATGCACTTACCACGAATTAATGCGTTTTCCAATAGCAGAAATATAAATTTCATACCGCCACATAATCTCGTAATCTCACTATCCTATTTACATGACAGCCAGACACACTATTCAGAAAATTTATACTATGGTTCCCAAATAAATAAAATCACAAATCCCTACTTCTATCATGCACTGCCATTAAAAATAATCTCCCAGACCGTCTTTCCACACTTCTAAATACCCACTACCCCTCAACAGGATAGCCACAATCATATTTCCTTTTGCAGAACTTCAACAACTACCATTTTATCTTTCCCTCCCATCTTCTCAAACACTGAGGCGAACCAACGAGGTCCAGCGAAAGATTTTTCAACGTCAACAGGGTTGTCATAGAACACGCAATCGCGCCCAAAACCAGCGCAGAACACATATCGCCACATTTGGTGAAATTAGGGCGTATATTAGAGTTGTACCAAAACATTATACCCTAAAAGTAGAACGGGATAAATTTTATGCAAGATGTATTTTCATTTAAATTTGTAATTTTTAAATAAAATTAAAGCTTAAATTTCATCATATTAAAAAAAAGTCTCAGGTATGGGCAAAAGTGTAATTTTATTCCATACCGATATTATTTATAGGCATAAATATTAAACACAAAAAAATAAACAGAAAGCTTATCTATATATTATTTCAGACCACCGTAAATGCAAATAAATAACTAATGGGTCGTATAATAACTAACAGGAACTCTTCAAAAAAAATCTTTAACATTTTTTTAGGTATAAAAAATCGAAGCAATTAACTTACCACAGCGGTTGTCGTAAGCACACAAGCAGTAGTGTATGCTTTTGTAATTATAGGCATTTCTAAATATTCTTGTTGAAGAGCCTGGGCCATACCTGTGAGAGTTTTTCTTCCCCAAACCAAGAAAAATAATATATTTTATTGTATATTTACATAAGTCTCTAAAAACTGCTAGGCAAGTCAATGCTTCAGTATTTTATGTAACATCTAAAATTTCACAAGTACAGACACTCACTACAAGAGCAGACTTTTATCAATTCCGAAACAAAACATAACCCTTAAGTGGCGTCAGCGTTAGACATATAGACAGATGTCTTGTTTTGCACTTACTAAGTCTTTCTGCCCCGATGGGCGAAAACCAAGGTGCCAAGAAGAACCTTCCTGTTACGTGCGATGAAAGGAGTCAATTTCGTAATACTCCTAGTACAGCTACTAGACATAGTAGTCCCAGGTAGAAATAACTTCCATGGTCCTAACTATGTTGAACTGCGGTGCTTAACCACCAGGGTGCCTGGGCGCCATAGCCCTACCCCTAGATACACTTCCAATAAGTTTTGTCATTTAATCAAAATTTCAGTGTGGTATATTAAACAAAATATTTACAACCTATTTAAAAATATGCAAGTAATTTACAAATTGATTAAATATCTGATATTTTTAGAATTAACTTAATTTTTGTTCTGTTAAATTATCGAAAATGATTTTAGCCATTACTTTTATGCAAGCGATTTTTTAATGACGTAACTTCGCAAACACAAAATGGCAACCTTAATGCCTATGTTTTTTTTCAAACGTTCAGATTTGTTTTTATTTATTTTCGAATTATGATGTGACAGGTATTAAATAAATTGTAGCGTCTTGAATGGAAGATTTTTCATTGAAATAATTTTAAAGTTGTTAATGTTACTGTAAGTATAGTATTTATTTACTTTTAAACACTTTATGTATTTGTGTGGATGAACATATTGTCTACATTTTCAAGTTATTCTTTTTTATCGATTTAGTCAATTTAGTTTCATTTTTCTCATGAATTGTTTTGGTAAAAGTTTACAATTGGGTGCCCCTTATGTTTTTGCGATTCTTTTTTGACGCCAAGATCGGTGCCAGGAAGACACAATTTCAAGGTGGCCTCTATACAAAACCCAAATAAGAAGTCAAAAAATTGCAAAAACTGTGTGCCCATGTACACATCGATCTGTTTTCACTTAAAAAAAACATCCCAGAATTGCACAAACTAAGTATTGCGCACTGCCTTAAATTTGTCCATGTACACATCAATCTATTATCATTTTTAAAAAAATCAAGAAGCTAAAACAAAGTTAACTATCATGGTAACCAAAAATGAGGTTTCATCTCCAATATTAAAAAAAAAAGAAATTGTCGCTAATCGAAGGGGCACCCAATTCTACACTAGAGCCATTGTTTTTAATGTAATAATCAGTGTGGTTGATCTTTACAATCAGTGTTTGTATGCTATAGTAAATAATTACTGTTAAATATAAAGTTTTCTTTGAAACATTAACAAAATTTCAATAAAATATTTTTTTATTGATTAAACATTTATAATAATAAGTATGAAATTCTATATACATATTCCAAGGTGTATTTAGTTTAATTAAAGCTATTAATAAAATAAAATGCTGCAAAATTTAAGGTAAAATAATTATCTTTAAATGCCACATTTCAGCCTATTAAATTTTCTTTTTTTGATTATAATTAGATTAATGTGAGAATCATAGTTAAGAATAAATAGTTTTATCGTAGTTGAGGTTGTGATACAATACACATTAATTATTCAAACTATGATTATTAGCATTGGAATAAAAATGTAACATTGTAGGATGCAATTTGTGTATTTTATAATCCTAATATTCTTGGCTGCAATAAATGTAAGTGGTTCATGGCAGCTCAAGCTTTAATAATTGATTGAACTGAATACTTTTTTTATGTTTAAACACTAACAGCAGAACTTGTCATGGCAAAAATTACAGTACTTTCTGATTCTGCGCAGATTCACAAAAAGTTTCTGAGAATTAGTGAAAGATGTTTATTTGGCTGTCTTTATGGCTCATGGGTATTATACTTTTCATAAATAAGAATAAAAAGAAGCATTGTATAAGAAACCAGAAATTTGCAGGGGGAGAGGAAGAAAACAAAATTTTAATTGGCAGTCTTTACATTTTTACAGCCAATCATTGTTCATCAAAATGACAGTTATATATAAGGCTTTTAAATCGTGTGCATTTATACCTGAGTGTAGTGTGTTTAAGGGCAGATAGTATAAAGAAAATCCTTGCAAAACTAACCAAGGATTAATAAGAGGTAGAATCAACAATTGTTCCATGTACAAAAAGGTAAAAATACCAAAGAAAAAATAATATTTTTGTAATGAAAGTTAAAATATGAAAGTGATGTCTTCAAAACAAATGATAGCAGTTTTTGATTTTTGTTTGGACTAGAGCAGTCCTATATAAAATCAGGCTTCTCCCTACCCCCACCCCCCCAAAAAAAGAAGCAACTTTTGGTTGGCATTAAAATTACTAACTTTTCACACTGCTGTGTTAGTCCTACTTCCATTTATATGACATGGGCAAAATATAAGAAGTCAACAATTTCCATTTGATTTGGAAATTTTTTTAAGAAAATATGTGTTTGCTTTGTGGCCTTTAGTATCAGAGTTGATAAGACTTCTGAATACTAGTAATTCAATGTAAGCTTGAATCAGAGCAGCTGGACTGGTTACATGCAGGTTCTCTTGGTATTTTCCTCTTATGAGGACCTGATTCAAAAATGCACTTACGTATGTAATATGTAAATGTGCATAAACACACATACATACATACATATATACATACATATGTTTCTGAATCCGGACCTGATAATAGAAATGTACCATTTCTCGATGTATAACATGAATACAAGACAGTTTCTTTTAGAAAGAGGTCCACAAAGGCATTTCCTTAGGCTGATAATCATTATGTGCTTTGCCTCATTCAGTTAACTAGCCAGTCAATAGCTTGCTTTGTGCTAAGAATATCATAATTAGATTGTAAAATAATGAAAACTATAATAGTACTTCTTTGTTAAAGCATAGCCAAAGTCTTTAGTAACATTTAAAATTTTGTACATTTACAGATTGGGTGATTAGGTTTGCCAATTTTGGCAACTGAGTGTGGTGATTTACTTAACATGAAGAGGCTAATTAATTTAATTATATAAATCATGATGAATTATGATCTATACTGATAGGAAGCATCAAGAATACAAATCTTATGAACCCCAGAGGGTTAATTTCTGATCTGATTTGCACTAATAAATTGTAAGAAAACTAAAAATGCACTAAAAATATGTAACAACTAGCCACTAAAAATTCATAGAGATTCATGGCTTAGAATTTTGATATTCAATGTGTTTTGATTTCAGCTAATTCTCAATTTCTATTTTTGAAGTATAGCATGTATTTTTAATGAAATTATAATTGATTTGTGTGGTAGAAATAGTTATGAGAATGATTAGAAAAATGATAAAAGTTTGTATTATTCAAGATATGACAATCCAAAATATATGAATAACTGAAATAATATATTTTTATTTTCTGAAAATAAGTATTTCATGTAAATGTATATAATTAGATTTTAAATATTATAGAATATGTGTTATACATGAGTACCTGATAGAAACTGTTTATATATTTTATAAAATTCGTGGTATTTTTCTATTATAGAGGCCAGATTCAGAAATATATGTATGTAGATATGTATATACATACATGTATTGTAAGGTATTTCTCCCGCCTTCCTAGCGTGCCTTCGTGGTGTAGTGGTCAATACACTGAGCCGGTATTTCAGAGGTCCGTGGTTCGATTCTCAGCGAAGGTGTTGCTAATTTTTCATCTTTCCTGTTTCTAAAAAATTACCTAATGTCTTTACAGTGGCGCCCGAACTAAAAGAGTTGTGGATGGTCACTCTCCATGCTCAGGATTTGGCGATTGGGTCCCCTAAAAATCCCAGTCGCCCTTTAAAAAAGGGAGTATGTAAGGTATTTCTCCTGTCTTCCTAGCGTGCCTTCGTGGTGTAGTGGTCAGCACACTGAGCCAGTATTTCATAGGTCCGTGCTTCGATTCCCGGCAAAGGCGTTGCTAATTTTTCATCTTTCCTGTTTCTAAAAAATTACCTAATGTTTCTACAGTATGTGTGAATATATACGTACACATGCATTTCTGAATCCAGTCCTAAAAACAGAAAAGTACTGAATTCATTAATATTTACATCTATCTAAATATATATATAATAAACAAAAGTTGAGAAATTTCAAATTAAGATGATATATGTTACTTATTATCAATCTCTCTATATACATTTAGGAAGCAACAAAAGAAAAAGACATAATGATAAAAACTATCAAAGTCTCACAAAATGCTATGAAATTAATGTAAATATAAGAAAAATTTGAATTTAATCTAAAAATATTTGTATGCCATCTAATATAAAAAAAGCTCATATCATAATGCTTAAACTAGGCAATTAATTTTAGAAGTAAATGTAAAAATTAGAGATAATTTTCAGTATTTTTTCATAATGTGTAAAGTTTTACTTTTCAATTTACAGATTATTTACCTTTTCTTCCTTTCAGTTAGTATTTGGTGTTAATATTAATAGCCGTTCATGTTAGAATATGAGTAGGCCATTGATAGTAAGTATCTGATACAGCACAAAGTCCGAAATCCGGATGACCATTATCCAGAATGATCTAAAATCTGGATCTCAAAACCACCAACAATGTTTTTTCTCGTAGGTTTTACGCATACGCATTTAATTTCCCCCTCCGTGCATAATAAAATGTGGAGAGTCGTGATTCTTAATTTCACTTTGCCACTAAATGAAATATCTTGCTATTGGAAAAACAATAATTTTAGCATAAATTTGTACGATCAGTAATTTGGCTCTGTTGCTGCGTATCTGCTTGGCACACATCTCAAACCAAAACATTCCACATAGATACATTGTTGATCTGACACAAACTTGGCAAATCATTATATTATACTTTCCCTTCATCACCACATGTTTATCAAAACATGATCAAGTTGAGTAATGACTCATGTAGCTATGCCTAAACAATTTTTGGTACTTTTCTGTTTCGCCTGCGCAAATCTCGCCACACAGAACTTTATTGGCGACAACACACAGTGTTGGTGCCTAATCATCTGCTATACGAAAACTTCCTCTACCGTAGTTGCCTAGCACCGAATCTTGAAACGCATATGCGCCAATATCATTTGTTTTTTGTAATTTTTTTTTTATTAGCTTGTTCGATGAAAATTTTGTTGCTTGGATTTTTGAATGGTTGCTAATTGAGCGGTTAATTTTCGAATAAAATAAAAGATGGATTTAAAAGAAAATTAGTTTCGTTATTTCGTAGCTACAGTCCATAACACACAGTATACATATAAAAAGTGTTAATAAATGTTAGTTCTAAGAAATTTTTATTTTGAAGGCATCGGCAATTTAATATCGTTTAAAATTTTGTAAAAAGGCAATAAATTTGTAAAAAGACATTAATTTAAGAATTTACTATGCTTTCATCCCTGCAACATCCCGATTCGCTGTTACATATCACGTGACCTCAAGTGATCTCATCTCACGTAAACTACGCTACAAAAATCTAATTCTATCAGTAATTATCCACATTAATTTCAAGTTAAATCTTAATTCGGAATACAAGTTTAAATGCAAGAATTATTTCAATTCTTACGAATAGCTTACTCAGAAATTACATAACACCGCAGTGCTTTACTTCGCTAGTGCATTCGCATTAGAATTGATGAATTTAACACTTGACTTTGCCTTTTCTATATTTTTTGCCTTCGGGTGAGCGGTATGATTGTATCCTAATTGACCTAATTAGCGCG